CCCGCAAAATGGTGCTCCGATCAAGGAGGCCAATCTTGGACTGATGTAATGCAAAAAGTTTACGAGCTAAAGGCTTCAAAAATGAGTCGGCCAATTGATCAGCCGTATGAACATGAGAAACACGAAGTTGACGGCGGACAACTTGATCGCGTATAAAGTGGAATTCGATAGCAATATATTTCATGCAGGAGTGGAATATCATATTAGTGCACAGATAGGTAGCTCCAATATTATCACAATATATTGTAGGGGTGGAATCGATGTTGAGTTCCTGGAGTAGATTCGTGATCCAATTGAGTTCTGCAGTGGTAGTGGCAATGACACGGTATTCAGCTTCAGTTGTAGACCGGGCGATTGTCTTTTGCTTCTTAGAACTCCAACTGATTGGATGAGCACCAAGGAAGATAATATACCCTGATGTGGATGTTCTATCATCAAGGTTACCTGCCCAATCAGCATCGGCAAAGGCATGAAGACGAAGTGGAGAGTGTTTACGAAAAAAGAGTCCATGATTTAGGGTCCCTTTAAGATATCGTAGAAGTCTCTTGACCGCAGACCAGTGTAGAGTAGATGGTTGCTGCATAAACTGTGATAATTTGTTGATAGCAAATGAGATGTTTAGACGCGTGAGAGCTAAGTATTGTAAAGAGCCAACAACTTGGCGGTATTGAGTGGGTTCCGTAGCAGGACTTCCATCCGATAATTTGAGAGAACTACTAGTAGAGATGGGGGTTGTAACTGCATTTGCATCCTACTTGTTTGTCTTTAATAACAAATCTTGAATGTACTTACGTTGTGATAAAAGGAGACCGAAAGATGTGAAGGTAGCTTCGACGCCCAGAAAGTAGCTTAAGGGTCCGAGATCCTTAAGCGAGAATCGAGCTGCCAACTGTTTGATGAACGTTTGGATGCTGATGGGATTATTGCCTGTGACAATAATATCATCCACATATACCAGAATATACATTGTGTTTCCATGATGATGTCACAGAAACAACGAAGTGTCAGAATTGGAGTTAAGAAAGCCGACAGAAGTCAAAAATGAGCTAAGTTCAGTGTACCAAGCTCTCGGAGCCTGACGAAGTCCATAAATGGCTTTCCAAAGTTTGCAAACATGCTGTGGATACTGAAGATGAGTAAAATCGGGGGGTTGTTGCATAAAAACATCTTCGGATAGAGATCCCTGTAGAAAGGCATTATTAACATCCAATTGTCGTAATTGTCAGCCTTTAGTGGTAGCCAGACTCAAGATAAGCCGTATTGTAGTGGGTTTAACAACATGACTAAAAGTCTCAGTGAAATCAACCCCAGGTCATTGATGAAACCCTTTGGCGACCAAGCGTGCCTTATATCGGGCAATAGAGCCATCTGGGTTCCGCTTAATTCTAAAGACCCACTTACACCCGATGATATTTTGTGAAGGATGGAAAGGAATGAGATCCCACGTTGAATTATGGAAGAGGGCATTATATTCCTCACTCATGGCAGTACGCCAATGCAGAGATTTTTGGGCTTGAGTGAAGGTGGTGGGTTCAACGTTGAGGGATGAGGAATTCATGATAGCTTGTAGGTTAAGTACCTGACGAGGTTTAAAAATACCATGCTTAGAGCGAGTGGTCATAGGATGATTGGAGACGACAGGATTGGGAGGTGATGTTGGGTGAGGATCTGTGGCACAAGCCGGGTCAAGTGGAGACACGTCAGGGGCACTTGGGCAAGAAGGAGGTAAAGAGGATGGTTGTGTTTCGGAACATATTGCCCCATCAATTGGGGAAGAGTGGAGTGGAGTAGGAATAGAGGAAACGGGCAAGTGTTGAACTGGAGTGATATAGTGCGGATCAGGAGGGGAGGAAGTAGACGAAGTCATGGGAGGCTCGTCCGATTGGTCCAAATGTATACTCCAGTGAGATAGTGAAGTGATCCGTATGGCAGGATATGGAAGGGTTTGGAAAGGAAAGTTAGACTCAACAAAGACAACGTGATGTGATATGAAGATTTTGTGAGTGTGGAGATTATAGTAGCGGAAAGCATTATGTTCAAGTGAGTAACCAATAAAGACGCAAGGAGTAGATCGGGATGTTAACTTATGAGAGGTATATGGACGTAACCAAGGATAACATAAACAACCGAACACTCGGAGTTTACGAAGGTTAGGGGGTTTGTGAAATAGTGTGTCAAAGGGGGACTAGTATTGTAGAACTGGTGTAGGCATTCGATTAATTAGGTAGACAGCAGTTTGAAAGGCTGCTGTCCAAAAAGTTGAAGGCATGGAAGCCTGATGTAGAAGTGTGAGTCGAGTTTCTACTATATGCTGATGTTTGCGTTCGGCAGAACCAACTAGTTGAGAAGTATGTGGGGGAGACTTGAGGTGTTGAATACCACAAGCTGAGAGATGGGATGTCAGGGCTTGATATTCACCACCACCATCAGAGTAGACTGTTTTAATGGTAGACTGAAAATAGTTTTCGACCAACTTCTGGAAAGTGGAAAAAATGTAAGAAATGTTAGATTTATGGGAAAGAGGATATATCCATGTGTACTTAGAGAAGTGATCTACAAAAATAACATAAAATCGGAACTTATCAAAAGATAAGATTGGAGCAGGACCCCAAACATCAGTATATATAATTTCAAAAGGTTTAGAGGAGGAAATGGAAGATGAGCCAAAAGGCTGCCGATGACTCTTATTACTAAGACAAGCATCACAATGCATCATAGAATTAGTGGACTTAAAAAGAAGAAGAGAGTGACGAGATAATAATTTCTGCTGAATAAAGGACAAGGGATGACCAAGCCGACGATGCCACACATCAATTGGAGCCTCAACAGAAGAATGAACAGTGGGCTGGGTTATTCGAGAGGCTGACGGCCATTTATAAATGTTGTCTTTATTCGGGCCTTGGACCAATGATGCCCCCATGCTCAAGTCCTTAACAAGAAATGAATCAGGAAAGAATTCAATGGAAGTATTGTTATGTTTGCAAAATTGAGAAATAGAAATGAGGTTGCGTTTAATATGAGGGGCGCATAAAACATCATCGAGGGTAAATGTATTAGAGTCAGAATTAAGCGTTGTGGAACTAGTATGAGTTATAAGAAGTCCTTTACCATCACCGATGATGATATCTTCATCGCCGCCATAGGGATTGTGAAGAGACAAATTCTGAAGATCAACGGTGATGTGATGAGAGGCACCAGAGTCGACAATCCAGTTGGACTGGCTAGGTGTCGGAGAAGTTAGGAGATTTGCCTGAGGCCAGTGTGACGGAGCAGGGAGGCGGGGACGAGACCAGCAAACTTTAGCGGAGTGGCCGACTTTGTCACATAGTTGGCAAACGACCCGTCTTTGATGGCTCGGTAGGGCAGGACGCCAAGACGGATGATGGCTGGAGTTGCCACTTTGCGAGAAGTGATGACTAGGAGGATAGGAGGGGTGTTGCATGGAACTCATAAAATCAAGAGGCGCATTAGCCAAACCTTGGGTGATGTTCGGCGAGTACCGAGTGCTCTTCCGTTTAGACTTGTGACTGACTTGAGCGGTGACAGTTGATCCAGGCAGTTTGTTCGCACGCTTCAAGTACATCTCGTAGTCAGTCAGCTTATCATAGAGATCTTCAAAAGAGATCGGCGAGTCGCGTGCCCGAATTGCAGCAGCCAATTCCTTGTAGTCGGTGTCGAGACCATTGAGGGTATGAATGACAACCTCTTCGTCACATAGGGAATGACCTACCAAGGCCAAGTCATCAATGATAACCTTGATATGTCGTAGATAATCAGAGATAGTACTTCCCTCTTATTTTGTCACCATAAGCTTGGATAGAATACTGAGCTTGCGAGTACGCAAATGATTTACCAGGGTGGTTTGCAGTGTAGACCATGCATCGGCAGCTGTCACACATGAAGATATCAAGGGAGCAACGGATCCAGAAACTGAAGCTTGAATAGCTTGGAGGATGAGACGATCTTGACGTAGCCACAGTTTGTGAGCTGGATTGGGTACTGGACTGGGATCGCCAGGGATGTTGAGCATGGCCAGAGGACAACTGAAAGAGCCATCAATGTAACCTAACAAGTCGTATCCAAATAAAAGATTAGAAAATTGAGCTCGTCAGGACACATAGTTGTCACCCTTTGATGACTTAAAGGGGATCAGCGTGGCAGCATTGATGGAGATAAGCCCTATAGAAGAACAAGAAGTGGGAGTCCCTACAGGAACTGAAACATCAAAAGAAGTGAACGAAGACATTTTTTTTTCGTTTTTTTTTTTGAAGAGATGCAGCGAACCTTGTGTGATACTCAGGTCACACAAGGTGGAGAATGAGGGAGGGGGCAGCTGCTATAGATTGCTGCAGTAGATTGGGCAATCTACAACAGTGCCCAAAGCTGTCGGCAGCTGTTGTGGATTGTTGCTTGCTGCAGCAAATTGTAGAGGCTGCAGTTCGCCGGAAGATGGCCGCGAAAACTGCAGCGGTACTCAAGACTGCGGTTCGCCGGGAAATAGCTACGAAAATCTGCAACGGTACTCAAGGAAACTACAGTGAGAGAAATCTGCAGCAATTAGATGTATAGAGGAAAGCGACAGCGAAAGCTGCTGCGGTAGAGGAAGGAAGATGCAGCGGTTGCGGCTGCTGCTGGCCAGGAAGCGACTGTGACAGCGACGCCGGAGAGTGTCTGCTGTCGAAGAAAAGCAAGACCGGCGATGAAGGAAGAGAAGAAGTGGATGAGCAGAGCCAAGACGGTGCTCGTTATTATTATTAACATATCCCTTTCCTTTTATACAGATTAAAAGGGAGAATTTCCTCAATAGCGAGGAAGATTTCCTCAACAGAATAGAGAATTTTCCTGAGGATTTACCTCAACAGAATAGAGAGATTTCCTCAAACAATCTTATCTAATTATCACCAATCCACCCCCATACGATCATGTCTGTGTGTATAGCCCCATACGGAGTGTGCACAAGACAACAACAAATCTTTGGCCTATGAAAAATGAACCTAATGTGATGCCAGACTACATTATAGCCCCATCCACACCGCATCGAAATAGACGGCGGCGGCGGACGCTACACATTTTATGAGGGAGGGAGGTTAAAACAAAATTAAACCCTGCTAAGCGTCGAACTGAGGTTACTTCCGGTCCACCCACTCGCATGCCGCTGCGGGCCCCGAGAGTAAGAGAATGGAAGGTCCGACCGCAACCACACTTCCACGGGTCATGCCGCTAAGCTGAGCCTCGGCCCCACCGGTCGCGCGTCCGACGGCGACGCGCCCCGCACTTTCGCCTCCGCTCCTCTTTCCCCGGTCCGGTTCTCCGGCTCCAGGCCAAGCCTCAGGTCCAGCCGTACGCCCTCCGGCTCCCCCAGGATCACGTGCGATCCCTCCGCCGAGAACGCGCTCCCGTCCTCGCGGCTAGCCTCCTCCTCCGTTTCTTGTCTCGCCGCCCGTCGGAAGAGCCCCGGCTTCGAGACGACCAGCGCAGCTGGACTTCCGGCCGAGCGCTTGAATCGGGTCCGTGACTTGCGGGCTACCTCGTGGAGGTCCCCGGGGACGCCACCGGCGCTGAGGTTCTTGGACACATGGCGGATGTCGTGGGCCTTGAACGCCGGAATAGCGCCAGCGGCGGAGTCGGACGAGATCTGGATGATGGGCGCCCCCTTGAGCACCGCCTCGACGGCCGCCTGGCACAGCTGCCAGCTGCCGGACCAAAGCAAACCCACCGAGCCATATACCGGGTTAACGATCCGCCCACAAGCCTCGAACAACAGCGACCGGAATATGGCTGACAAAGAGACACACGCACGACGCTTTCAACTCCCAGCCTTTACAGTAGAACGATCATCATCACTCAAATTCCTCCTGACGCAAGAGATATATACATACCAGGGCGGAGGTGTTCGGTGCCGGCGTTGATGAGGTTGACGAGTCCGGCGCGGCCGTAGAACTTGGCGAGGAAGGCGGTGGCGTTGGCCTGCGCCTCGGGGTTCTTGATCCACTGCAGGCAGGGCCGGATGGTGCACCCGTCGGTGCAGGCCTTCCGCAGGATTCGACATCCGTTGCAGCTCTTCCTCATCTGGTATCGACAACTTGCAACTTACAGCAAATTCTCTCTCTACAGGCAGAAAGGCTCCAAAAGAAAGCTGGCTTGCAAACGGAGCGGAAGAACGAGCGAGTGCGATGGAGCAGACGGGTGGAAGGGGAAGGAGTTGCGGACTATATAAGCTTGGAAGGTGGATGTAGGATTGATCGATCATTGTCATCATGGGATCACGTAGATAGATGTCCGCATGTTGGAGGATGAATCAGAGTCTCCAAAACAGAGTCTCCTATTGCGTCTTCCGCGTGAATCAATTCATGTTCTTACAAATGAATGGCAAAAACGAGAGCGACGCAGTTTCTTCATCATCGTTGTGTAACACATTTTTCAGATTTTGATTGCAACGAAATAGATTTTTTTAATTTTCTTCATTATCATTCACTTACTACTTAATTTGTATTGTATCGGTAAAAAAAATAATAATTGAAAGTATCATTTAGTTAGATGGGAAGAACTTTAATAGTTTATCATAAGATTGTAAGTTCGAATCCTGTATTTATTATTTATTATTTATTATTTATAATAAAATATCTAATAATTGATCGAAATTAATATGTTAGACACATAATTAATTCATACATACTAATAACCATAATGATAGAGTAATAAGATAACATAGGAAGAATATTAATCGTTAAGCATAGCTCGACATGTCACGATAGTTTCATTATGTCAGTAAAATCGAATAAAACTATTTTTAAATATTTTTTATTATACTAAATATCGAGATTCTTATACACATTAAATTATAAATAATATGTCAATATAAGTATATATATTATCCTTACTTAGTGATATGATTTGTGATGTTATGCTTCATAAATATGGTAAATAATATGTTCATGTTGTCAACTTTTAAAGTTGAAATATATTATTTCCAAAACTATTATTCTCAATATTGTAAGAAATTTTGGTTGAACATGCATAAGGATCAATAATTACTTTAAGTATATTTTATTAAAAAAATATATGAGCATTCGACGTAATAAGTTTAAGTATGCTAACGAATTTAAATATTAGATTAAGTAATAATAATAATAATAATAATAATAATAATAATAATAATAATAATAATAATAATAATAATAATAATAATAATAATAATAATAATAATAATAATACATATAGTGATTAGAAGTGACGATTCAATTGTAATTGACCTTAAGTGAATCACAAAAGCTCGATTAGTTTGAATATGATTAAAGGAAGCTTAAATTTTAAACATCATGTGTGTGAGGAATAATAAATTGTTTATCTATTGGATGGAGTAATAAAAAATTAAATAAAAATATAAATTAAAGAAGAGTGTTATACTAAACTTATTGAGATACATAAGTGAGATTGAGAGATATATTTAGATAAAAATATAATATTTATCAAATAAAATTATACTCAATTAAAGTTAATAAAATCTTATAATTATATTAATAAAAAAACTTAAAATAACATCCAATAGGATTCAACCATCTACACTTATACTTTAAGATAACTTATTAAGTTTATCTATTATATTTTTGCTAATTACTTGTGTCCAAAAGACTAATTCGATGACACGTGTGATGTATTACACAATTTTTTTTTATTGTTATTATTATTATATATTTTTTTATTTTTTATTATATGATAAATATATATTATGATGTCTTTAAATTTATGCAATGAGAATTGGATCATGATAAGATTATGATAGTGAGACTAATTTGTCTATGAACACATATCGCTAAATATTTCGATCATAGATTACTCGAAAGAGACATCAAGATAGCCAGATAGACCGGTGTATTATATACCCGTCCATATGATGAAAGTAGCTGATCTCATAGCTGCTTATGTGGGAACAATAATGATATAGCACAGGTGCTCATTAGAGAATGAGTTCACTGAATGATTCGCTTACGGAATGTTAGATGGTTAATAATAACTTAACGTAAGACAATGATTTCGCAGTCTTAGTTGTATGTCTGGTTCTTAGACTTGAGACACTAATGATACATTATTTGAGTACTTCGTTCTTTGAAACCAGATTTATAAGTCTGAAAGTTCTGAATTTAGTATAGATGGTCATTGAGAACGACAACCAAACTTACGAAGGTAATTGGGTGTCAATAGAATATCATTCACTTTCGATATCATGAGAGAAATATCTCGTGGGCTTTCACTTAGGAAAATCCATAGATATGATCAATTGGATTATGATAAATTATTCGAGATAATGAGTTATTCGAGAGAATCCAATTAGAGTGAGACTTGAATAGATTTCGTACAAACTTGACAACACTATGCCCAATATATGATCTCTGGGATATTAGATAGATGAGAGACTATAAATACATTGTAACTAAGGGCATACATGTCCAATGGATTAGATCCCCCTATATCATCCAAGGACTATGACACAGTGGCTTAGTACGTCCATAGTCGATGAGTTGAGTGAATTATTATTAGGATAATAATTTAATGAGTTATAAAAAGTTCTAATAAGTGTAACTCACGATCAGCTCGATATTGAGACTAGATGGTCATACATATATGGTGAACAACGTGACAAGTAGAGGATTGAATATAATATATCCAATAAATTATTATTTTATTGGATCCATTGAGTGAGACTCAATAGAGCTTATAGTGGTTATTGGATGATGATCTAATATTCATTAAGTTAGAATAATTGGATGAAGATCCAATATCCATTAAGACATATCCATTAGGATAAGTAAAGAGGGATCTTTGTATATAGGAGTTGGGGCTTAACGGATCGTTGGCTAAATCCCTATTGTTGTCATCTCCTTCACCTCCTCCTTGCCTCTTTCTCTAGTTGACTACCTCTTCTCTGGTGTGAGAGGACAACAAGAGGGACTGATCCCTCCTTGGTTATTGTGGTGTGATAATACACGAATGTGAGGAAAGAACGTGTTGCGTGAAGAGGTGTGTCGTTGTCGTATCTGTTGTATAGATCACCGCTAGAGAAGAGTTTGCAAGAGCTCCTTCATCCACGGACTGAGATCTGCAGATTAGGGGATCTATGATCTCCCCTATGTGAGAATGTCTCAACAACTTTATGTAGTTACGCGGTTTTATCGCTTTCGAGTTTTTCGCTCACAATCTTCGCACGACGATTAGATAATATTATTTTAGGAAACTAGTTTTTGTTTTTACTTTCCACTACATATGTGATGCTCTATGTTGTTTCCCAATAATTTTGGTCTCATCCTCTTTACCAACTTGATAACTCATGATCATTTATTTTCTTCTTCAACTATATTTTTAGTTTTTCTCATGAAGACTAGGAAACCTTAGTTATAAAAATGGTTGAGGTAAGAAAGCCCAATTCTTCCTTTACTATATCTAAGATTTTAGTTTTATAGATTATATGATAATATTTTCAACTACTATTGAGTAACCTACACTTTGAATTAATATTTAATTTTTAGATAGATTTTGTATAATTCTCTTGTGATTCTAAAACCTCTAGTATGGCTACAGAGTTACAGGTGGCCTAATATGAGGTACTCAAAATATTTTATTTTCTGAAAAGGGATTCTATTCGATCTGAATTGGCTTTTTTAATGAGATGATTAGACTCTGTGCCTTTGATATATTTAAAAAAATTATTTATAGTTTTGTGAGATTTGAAATTGAGTGAATATCATATTTGTGAACCAACGTTTATTTGAAAATAGGTATTGGTATTTCAAATAGTCCAACTCAATTTCAAAATAGGTATTGGTAGTGAATTAGGAGGATAATTTAGCCTCTAATAATTCTATTTGAAGTTAAAAATTAGTGTGTATTTAGTTTTATATATTTCCCAGGTTTTTATAAAATTTCATAAAAATTCAAGATTGTTTGCTCAGTTAAAATGGTGAAGTAAATTTTTTTTACAAAATTATGTGATGGTTTAAATGAGACTAACCAGTTTATTTGATTATATAGAATATTATAAATAATTAACGATAATATTTAGATAAATTTTTAGGTTGAGCATAGTCTATTTAGTTTGGAATTTTATCCAAAAAAATTTTATAAATTATTATTATGAATTATTATAAATTAATAATTTAATAGATATGTTTCTTGATTAAAGCATTTTGTGATATTATGCTCTCAATTTGATATGTGTACTACTCCCTAGTATGCTGGATCATTAATGAATATAATATTTTATTATTATTTTTATTTTTGAGTTAAATTAGGTAAGTATAAGTTTTATTTATTGTAAAATAGTGATTGTATAAATTATCATATTCATAATATATTTTAGAAAATATGTTTCAAATTATATGATTATCATTAACTACACATAAGAGAAATATAGTGTATATATTTTGTGAGCATAGAAATATAAGAATTAAAATAAAATTATATTATATGTATATATGATGATGTGCGATGTGAGAGTGCATGTGTTTTCTTTGATGTGCGGTGTGAGAGCTCACGAATATATTATGAT